GATTTCAGTTTTATTAGCATTTAATTTAAGATTTCAGTTTTATTAGCATTTAATTTAAGAAAGTTTGTTGTGAACCATGTTTTGAGTTCGGAAAGGCAAGAGGTGAGGGAGGGGGGTGGGAGTATGGAGTTTGGTTTGCAGGAGAGGTAGAGCTGGGTGTCATCAGCAAAGCAGTGGAAGTGGATATTAAATTTGCGGAGGATATGACCAAGAGGCAGGAGGTAGATGATGAAGAGAAGGGGACCTAGGGCAGATCCCTGGGGTACACCTGTGGTGACTGGGGAGGGCTTTGAGGTGAAGGATTTGAGCTGGACAAACTGAGTGCGGCCGGTGAGGTAGGAGTGGAACCAACTGAGGGGAGTGTGGGAGAGACCAATGGAGGAGAGTCCATTGAGGAGGATAGGGTGAGGGATTGTGTCAAAGGCGGCGCTCAAGTCTAAGAGGATGAGGATGGAAACTAAACCGGAATCAGATGCTGCGAGGAGATCATTTACAATGCGGATTAGGGCAGTCTCTGTGCTGTGGCGGGGGCGGAAACCAGACTGAAAGGGTTCATAGAGAGAGTGGAGGGACAGGTGGGAGTGGAGTTGAGCAGCAACAGTTTTTTCCAGGATTTTCGAGATAAATGGAAGGATGGAGATTATTTAGAAGAGATCTTGGTTCAACCAGTAACATATCCTATCAAAATAAATTATTCACTCATTTTCTTTTTGTAGATTTAGTAATTAGAGGAGGAGACAATATATTTATATTGTTCTACTGGTGGTCGAGTGGTTAGTGCATCGACCTCACAGTGCAGAGGTACCGGGTTCGATTCCAGCTCCGGCCTTCCTGTGTGGACAGTTCCCGGTTTTCTCCGGGTACTCCGGTTTCCTCCCACATTCAAAATAGTGTAGAATAGGGTGTTGTATTCAATGAATAAGTCCACCAACCCTCCCTGTGCTCCACCAGCGCATTCCCACTGCAGTAGGTACAATTGGGTGGTGCAACAACAGCAATGTGAGACAACAATAGCCTTGCAGTCTGTGGGATGGGACCTGGAGTCATACAACACAGCCAGCTTTCTTCACCGGCTGCAAGGATCTTGTGTGTGAATTGAACTGTTTACGATTGTTTAAGTGTCAACTAATATAGCAGTTAGCTGCCAACATAACCAGCATCCGTCACCAGACTGACAGGTGATGTGTAAACTTCTTTTTGATGGAGGATGAGTGCTCCTCCTCTAGTCCGCGGCATAAACACACAGACACAGACGGTAGAGGTCCCTCTTAGCCAATAGGATGCCAGGATGATGGAAAGAGCACCTTGAAAATTTCAGTGATGAAGTTCAGGAATCAAATCTACATCTTGTGTCAGCACCCAATTCAAGGGAAGTGACGGTAAATGAATGTCATATTTTTGGGATGTCTGACACCACATTATTATTTATATTGTCCTTGTTACAGGAAGTTTTCCTTACAAAAACAAATAACCAAAGGGAGAATTTTATACAATCAAATGTTCTTACCTGATCCAGGTAGAATATTAATCACCCCTTTAGGCAATCCTGCTTTTGCTGCCAACTCTGCAAACTTCAGAGCTGTAAGTGGAGTCACCTGGCAATGAAAAAAAATATTTACAATTTTCCACAGCAAACAATTCATTTTTGTATGGCGATATCATAGAGAATTACCTGTGCAGGTTTTAGGACAACTGTATTGCCGGCTGATAGACATGCTGCCGTCTTCCAAGCCAGCATCATCAGAGGGTAATTCCAAGGAATCACAATGGCACATACTCTAAAGAGAAGGACAGGAAAGGTATTGCTTCAAAAAACACTTGCAGTTTTCCATTTGCACCGATTCTTGATACCAGGAGGGACCAATTTATATTCCAAAAGGGCCACGTGAGGAACTGGAAGAGATGTCACTACGCTTACCTCAATTGTGTGGAACCTGAATTGAATTTCTAATCATTATACGATTAGAAATACAAAACACTATGTTTCTGCATCGTGCTATGTGCAATGGACAACATTTGCCACACCCTATATAGGTCATTTTATATCCCTCTCAATATAAAAACTGTAAAAACTGGTCCGGAAAGAAATCCAATAAATGTATGAGAAACACTCAGGATTCTTGATCCCGTCGTAGTAGCAAATAATATAACGTATTTGACTCAACTGTAACAAGCAATAAGTGGAGGAGAGTTCAACTTGTTCGCAAGATTTTCTTTTTTCTTGTTTAAAAGTTTGGTTTGAGCACCCACTCATTTTTACAAGCATTCATTTTGGATTTAGACACAAATGTAAGGAAATAATTGGAGTGCTGTATTTCAGAGGTGGGAGTCAACTATGTGCAAGTCATGAGTAATTCTCAAGTCATAACCTTTGAGTTTCAAACTACTTCCGAGGTACTGTGCAAAGAAAATCAATAAAGTCATATCGAGTCCCCACGAAATTTTAAGCAAGTCGAGTCAAGTCATAGCGCAGCAGCCCTGTTCATACGACCTTTCCTTCAACTTTGTGACAAACATTATCCGGTCGAGGTACGATGAAAAGGTGCTTCCTTTCGAACAGAGGAAGGAGGAAGACAGGCCGATTTCACTTATAACCGACTTCATCATACCACGGTGAGTGTATTATTGATATAAATAAGCTTCTTAAAATTCTCGAACTTTTTTGAATCAGGTCTCTCTTTTCATAAAAGTTGACCAAGCGTAACCTATGCTCATGGCAACAATGCACCTTGTAAGTGTCATTAGTATAGTTTAATGGGAAACAAATAATATTTTGTTTCAACTTTAAGGCAAAAAGGACATTTTGTATTTGTTTTATGTACATTATGTATTCACGTAGTGAAATATTTATTTTGTAAAATTAAGTTTCGTTATTTCGATGTTATCGATATTATCGCGAGACTTGCGATGTGGTAAGGTGGTTTATGCCCAGACACTCGAACGCAAGACATAGGAAGAGCAGCAGCTAAAAGGACTGTTCGCTATCTGTTGAAGATATCAAAAGTGTATTTTTTGTTGCCCAAGACCTCCGAAGTGGCAGGCGGCAATGAGTTTTCATGGTGTTGGTGTACCAAGACAACCCCAAAGACACTATTAAACACCCGTCATTTGGAAACCGTGCCCTGGTTTTGTTACTTTGGAGCTACACACCTCTTCTGGATGTGTAGTGAAAAACGCACTTATGCTGTTTAGTGTGGCTGCGTGACTTTGAAACCAATGAGGCAATGTGGATGAAAAGTTTTTTTGTACAACTAGAGGTGGATTTATTCATTTATTTTTTTAAATGCCTGGCTATGTGGAGACAAGGCCTAAAACTAAGAGAGCTGCCAAAAATGACACCGCCCTGTACAGGATTTCAAGACAGTCAAGTCTCATGTAAAAGTCAAATAGTCTCTCATCAGTTTTATTCAGAGCAAGTCCAGAGTCCTAAAATTGCTGATCTAAATATGACTCAAATAAAGTTTGATGACTTGAGACCCGTGGTCCAGTGGTGAGCGCGTTGAGCTCACAGTGCAGAGGTCATGGGTTTGATTCCACCTCTGGCCTACCTGTGTGGAGTTTGCATGTTCTCCCCGGGCCTGTGTGGGTTTTCTCCGGGTACTCCGGTTTCCTCCCACATTCCAAAAACATGCATGGCAGGCTGATTGGACACTCAAAATTGTCCCTTGGTGTGAGTGTGAGCGCGGATGGTTGTTTGTCTCTGTGTGGCCTGCGATAGCCTGGCAACCGGTTCAGGGTGTCCCCCGCCTACTGCCCGAAGACAGCTGGGATAGGCTCCAGCACCCCCTGCAACCCTTGTGAGGATACAGCGGATCGGAAAATGGATGGATTTGAGATCCCCTCTGCTAAATATAGAGTACTACACAGATTTTCAATGAGGGTGTCATGGCACCCAAATGTGCTGTGAGAGACCATCAGGGGTGTCGCATGAAATTATCCAATGTCACTAATTTGCTTGAAAACTAATATTTATCCATGACAAATACATCTCTGTTCATTTATGTATGCCAGCAAAGTACAGTGAATGGGAGAACAATAACCGGTAATTGCTCTTCCCTTAGCTAGCAGACGGTGCAATAAGCCCACCAGTTGCAATAAATGAAACAGAGTAAGTCATGGCTTCTTGCAACTCTTCAATTAAATGTGGCCCTTGTCTCAATAAAGGTTTGGAAACACATTAACACTAGAATGGAAACAATAACTCAAGATGAAGGATGATTTGATGGGAATTTGAATTCTCCTTACCCTATTGGTTCTTTCTTGGTGAAGGTGAGGTTGCGGTTGGGTCTTGCTTGGTTGATTGGGATGGTGCTGCCCTGCAGTCGCATAAAGACACGAAGAACAAAACAAGTAAATAATAGTGTGTGCATGTATGTGTGTTAGCGGTGATGGTGGGTGTGGGGGGGGGGGGTTCAACCGCGGTCTTGATGGGCCCCTATCCAGTTTGTTTTAGATATCTCTCCCCTCCAACACACCTGATTCAAATGATCGGGATCGTTATCCAGCTTCTCAGAGCTTGTCGATGAGCTGATCATTTGAATTAGGTGCACTGGAGGAGGGAGACATTTTACACAAGATGGATAGGGGCCCTCGGGGACCGGGTTTGGAAAACCCCTGCTCTAATTATTCAGGCGTCTGAGCATTCACGCAAACTCCCTGAGCATTCCTTGGACCGCAATGAGCAACTTGCATGCGGTGGCCAAACAAGTATCACACCTGTTCAAAAGCTGATCAGATTTAGTTCCATGATGTCGGTTTGTGACAAAAAAATTCAGACCACCTGTATATCAAAATAGAGGATATCATTGAATCGAGATGTGTGTGAAATGAGACTGAGTTTGTAAGAATCAGTTTAGGAATAAGGATTTTCTGCCACATTTTATGTTGTGAAATGGCCCAAAGTGCCTGGAATTGTCCATAAATCAATGTAAGCAACTGGGATTTTTGTGAAATTAATTTATTTAATGGATTCAATCGTGGCTATTTTATGTTTGATAAAACATGACTCTCGCTTTTCATCAGCAAATAGTGAGAATAAAAAAGGTTGAAAAGGTTGTTGCATAATGTTATTACTAATACCTGTAAAAGTGTGGCGATGCTTCACTTGTTTGATAAAAATCCTCAAGAAGGATTTTAAGGGATTTATCCTGCCCAGTAAATATGAGAATTTTCGCAAATTCACACTCTTTCGATGAGATGATGCTAAACATTAATATTCAAAGTCTGTGGTGGTAAATAGTCGGATAATTTAAGATGTCAGGTTATTATAACAGATTTAAAAAGCAGGACATAGTGGCCCATGCTACATAATTCACATTTTGTCAAAAATTAGGAAAAGTACAGAGGTGAGACAGCCAAAATTTGCTCATTCACGCCTCTTGCATCGATGACGTGAGGCAGCATGGAGTTGCAAGAACTCATGTGAATTGCATGACATGGCTATCCACACTTGATAAGTCCATCGCGGTAATATGCTACGAGTGTGCAGAGATATTCTCACTCAGCATCGGAGCACTTTCCCCGGGTCAGTTAACTGTGAGGTAATGAGTGGATAGTACCAACGCTGGACAATGCCGTGTCTCCAATTAACGTGGTGGCAAAGACATTGCAACCATTTTAGCTGAAATTCAACCTGTTTGAGCAATTTCACCTCTCTTTTTTTATTTTAAACATCCTGTGCAACGGTTAGTGTATATTGCACTCATAACTATGGTAAATAAGACAACACTCAACTGGACCGTAGTCATATATAACAGAGACCAAGCCCTCCACTGGGGTAATATAACAGAAATGTAATCAACATTAATATCACAGTAAAGAAGCCCCATTTAGGACCAAAGTCTAGATAAAATTAACCGAGTGGGCATCTTCAGCAGTGACCGTAAATGACAATGATAACACAACATGGTGCGCATTTCACTCTGAAGTGCTCCAGCACTTTCACCGTTTTATCTTTTTTGATCCATTTTTCTTCCTACTCCATCAATCGCTCTTGCCAATAAACTTTTCAATTTCTCGAATATGAAAATGCAAAGGTGGCCCGGTGGTCCAGTGGTTAGCGTGTCAACCTCACAGTGCAGAGGTTGTGGGTTCGATCTCGGCCTTCCTGTGTGGAGTTTTAGTTTTCCCCGTGCCTGTGTGGGTTTTCTCCGGGTACTCCGGTTTCCTCCCACATTCCAAAAACATGCATGGCAGGATGATTGAACACTCAAAATTGTCCCTAGTTGTGAGTGTGAGCGTGGCTGTGTGAGCGTGGATGGTTGTTCATTTCTGTGTGCCATTGCGATTGGCTGGCAACCGGTTCAGGGTGTCCACCGCCTACTGCCGGAAGAGGGCTGGGATAGGCTCCAGCACCCTCCGTGACCCTTGTGAGGATAAAGTGGATCAGAAAATGAATGGATGGATGGATGAAAATGCAAAATGCCGATCCAGCTCAGGTTTGAATAGTTTGTCATGTGCTCTATATATTTGCTGTGCGCCGAGAAGGTGAGAGTAGTGCCCAACTGCCACTCATGCAGCTTTGAGGGAACGCTCTGGGTGGAAGATTCGGAGATTCATAGTTATTTGACGCCGAATTTTTCAGTAGGGCTTTCACCTGAATCTTGTCACACCAGCCAGCAAAGTAGCGGAAGGTCTGTATTGACATGCCCACATGAGTCTTGAGAGCAAGAGTGTAAACAGCTCCAGAGTCCATGGATTCAATGGTGGCCAGCTCCTCCTGATGCTGCTCCATCAGATCAGCCAGTCTGTATAAAGGGACACACATGGAAACGCAAAGGTACTTTATTTGTAACAGGAACAATGCACGGTGCCAGTTCCAGAAACACAATTAGTGTAAACATAAAGGCAGAGCTACAGTGGAACGGTTTTCAGAATAGCGGCAATTCTAGGGTGAAATGTTGAGAGGGTGCTACAGAGAGGTCTATGGGTGCAACAAAGACTGGCAGGACAGGGGGCTATGTGTACAGGTGGGAGTTGCAGGGAGTGGGGGAGTTCCTTGGGAGTTAGGCATCAACCTGCACTGACCACTCCAACAAACAAAACAACATGCACAGGAAGTCTGCGAGTAAAGCAAATATGATCAAGGTTCTTTCAATGATGAGCCACACCACAGGAGAAAAGGATTGTAATCGTAAAATATCAAAATACTGTATCTGCTTTTGATAGAAACTCTTGGGGCGCTAAACAGCGAACCACCAGGCTTCCCGTTGTTTCCCATTTTAGTCATTGTTTTTGGTTATGTTTCTCTGGATGGGTTGGAACTGGGAAGGGAAATTAAATTTCTTGTGTGTTTTACAAACCGGGCCAACTCAAAATCCTGCATCTGATTTTGAGTTCTGGCTCTGTTTGAATTGGGGCATTTGTGAGTTTGCAAATACTGTAGTGTATGTTGTATAGGTTCTTACGAATGATTTCAGAGGAGTTGTCAAGCTACTAATTATGTACAATACGTTGTAATGTAAAAAATGTCTGTACATGTCAAAATGAACTTGGAATTTAGTTTTTATCCATTTATGCTCAGATTTCAAAGTCATTACGCTCGTAGTGCACCTCCAAAGTGTTTTGGGTCGACATGAAATGGTCTTAGTTTTAATAGGAGCAACAACATCATTTGAGATTTTCCAGGTGAATTTATCCTGGAGTTCATTGACAGTCTCTTCATTCGATAGTGAGGCAGGCATATTTTTTGTAAACATTTTGGTTGTGTCCTCATTTATATATCTTTTTTAATAGACACAATGGTTGTCTAGACTTTGGGGATGATATGGAGCTCAAAGAACACACAGAAATGATCGAAATAGCCAGGTTTTTAACATCAACAGCTGAAATGTCAACACCTTCAGGGATAATGAGATCAAGAACCTGACCTTGAGTATGTGTTGGACTTTTTGCATGCTGTGAGACACCAAAAGTATCACGTTTAGTAAAAAGTTCTTTGGTGATTTTATCCACGTTGTTGGCAAATGATTGTTAAAGTCTCCACTTATAACCAGGTATTCAGTCCAGATTGCTGACAGGATTTCTTCAAATTCCTCCTTAAATCCGGATGTCCCAGTTATGACACCCAAGCGCACATGCACTGTGTACAAAAAACCTCAGTGTCTTGAGTCTGAGGCAGCTTTCCTAAACACTATTCCACTAATGCAAACATTAGTATTCATGAATTTATTCATAAAAAAATTTACTAACTTGTAGATGACTCTTCCTCTGTCTCTAGGATTCATTTTCCCCCACTCCCCCTCTTCAAATGCTTCCTTAGCAGCAGCAACAGCCTTGTCCACATCGCCTATCTGCGCCAGGGACACATCACAGATGACCTGCAGGAAAGACATACAGTACACACCTTTTACATGTGATATTTCAATCAAACATTGACATTACACATCTGATCTCTACATACAGGAGAACAAGTATTCGATACACTGCTGATTTTTAAAGTTTTGCCACTGACAAAGCAGGTAGAGGCCTGAAATTTGTATCAAAGGCAGGCACTCTTCAACTATGAGGGACAGAATGTAAAACAAAAATCCAGAAAATCACAGTCCATGATTTTTAAATAATTAATTTGCATTTTATTGCAAGAAATAAGTATTTGATCACCTATCAACCATTAAGAATTTAGGCTCCCACAGACCAGTGTGTTCTTCCTTAAGAAGCCCTACTGTTCTCCACTCATTACCTGTATAAACTTCATCTGTTTGAAGTGTATAAAAGACACCTGTCTACACACTCAATCAAACAAACTCCATCCTCTCCACAATGGCCAAGACAAGAGAGCTGTGCAAGGACATCAGGGATAAAACTTTAGACCTGCAAAAGGCTCAGATGGGCTACAGGACAATAGGCAAGCAGCTTGGTGTGCAACAACAATTATCAGAAAATTCAAGAGGACGGTCAATCTCCTTCGGTCTGCAGCGCCATGCAAGATCTCCCCGTGGAGCATCACTGATCCAGAGGACAGTGAGGAATGAGCCCAGAACTACACAGTAGGACCTGTTGAATGACCTGAAAAGCGCTGATACCACAGTGTCAAAGAAAATCATCAGTAACACACTCCGCTGTCATGGATTAAAATCCTGCAGTGCACGCAAGGTCACCCTGCCCAAGCCAGCACATGCCAAGGCCCATCTGAAGTTTGCCAATGACCATCTGGATGATCCAGAGGAGGAATGGGTGAAGATCATGTGGTCTGATGAGACAAGAGGGGAGCTTTTTGGTCAAAATTCCACTCACCGTGTTTGGAGGAAAAGGAAGGACGAGTATAAACCCAAGAACACCATCCCAACTGTGAAGCATGGAGGTGGAAACATCATTCTTTGGGGATGCTTTTCTGCAAAGGGCACGGGACGACTGCACCGTGTTGAGGGGAGGATGGATGGGGCCATGTATCGTGAGATTTTGGCCAACAACCTCCTTCCCTCAGTAAGAGCATTGAAAATGGGTCGTGGATGGGTGTTCCAGAATGACAACGACCCAAAACACACAGCTAAGGCAACTAAGGACTGGCTCCGTAGGAAGCATCTCAAGGTCCTGGAGAGGCCTAGCCAGTCTCCAGACCTGAATCCAATAGAAAAGCTTTGGAGAGAGCTGAAAGTGCGTGTTGCCCAGCGACAGCCCTGAAACCTGAACGCCCTGGAAAAGTGGGCCAAAATCCCTGCTGCAGTGTGTGACAATGTGGTGAAGAACTATAGAAAACGTCTGATCTCTGTAATTTCAAACAAAGGTTTCTGTTGGTACAGAATTATTTAGTGCTGTTTGTCTGATGTATCAAATACAGACGTTCCCCAGGTTACGAACAAGACACGTTCCGAAGGATCGTTCGTTAGCTGAATTCGTTCGTAAGTTGCTTCAGTGCTATATTTTCTATGGAATGTATGTTTAAAGCTTATATAAGTACGTTTAAGGTTTATATAAGTATAATAAAATGAAGTTTAACTTACTTTTGGAATATGTACTTGAAGGCTTAAGGAGATGATGGAGGGGGAGGAGAAGGAAGAGGAGGATTTTATATCATGGGGCCGAGAGGGTCTTCGTCGCCGCTGGAATGGGCTTCAAGAGTTACTTCCTCCTCCGTAACATCAATGAGGGAAGAAGTTGAGGGTCCAGGAGAAGAAGATGAGGGTTGACGAGTATCTTCCTTGGAGGGTGTAGTAGAAACCGGCCGAAAGAAGCGATCTAACGACGATTGCACAGTTTTCTTCTTTTTCTCACCATAAATGATGCAGTAGCACTGTATGGCATCATTCATTTGATTTGCAACCTTTGTGCAACGTTCAATATTTGGGTCTTGCTGCTCGAAGAGTGCGATGGCTTTATCTATGAGCGAAAATCCCTCGGCCAAGAGTTCCGTCTCGAATTTCTTCATGGGGACAGGCGCTTCCTCCTCCTCCTCCTCCTCTCAGAGCGCCTCACATCGGTGGAAAGAAGCACTACAGTACTCGGAAAAAGGCGCGCAATACAAAATCTAACTTACAGCATCTGTGTCCGAGAACATTTTTCGACATACCTGTACCCGCAAAAAATGTTCGTATGTACCGTTGTTCGTTACTCGAATGTTCGTAAGTCAGGGAGTGTCTGTACTTATGTCCTGTGATAAAATGCTAATTATTTAAAAATAATCTATTGTGATTACTACAAGATAAGTATAGTATACATTTTCACATGGAAAAATAAGACAACAGCTTGAGCTGTTCTTAACATTTTAAGAAAAATGATTTACTTACTGAACCATCAGTTGGGTTTATGGTCTTGTAAATTTGTCCTCCCTCCGCATCAACAAACTCTCCATTGATAAATAGCTGATGAGGCATTTTAACAGTCATGTTGTTGATTTTTTTCTCCACCTGAAAAAGAGGATACCATTTAATGGGGGAAAAAAAAAACAATGCTCGGATTGTACTCGAGAGAGCCAGAGAAAGCAGAGCTACTGTTTCTCTGCCTGTTATAAAAACACATGGACAAAATGTTCAAACAATAAACATCATACATAGTCAATGACCAATTCCTCTTCATTGTCCTCCCCTCGTAGCTTTCTGACACACATCTGGATAAAATCCTGGAAGGTGGTGTTCATGTAGACGTCCTCATTTTGTAATTGGCATGTACTTGCACACAGTTTCACTTCCTCTACAAGCCTTAGAATGACAACAAACAAAACACTTCCATTACAGGTTCCAGAACAGCCTGACACCACACCACAGGCCCAGCCTGGCCTCTGTTGCTTTTCCATTATAACAGACGCCAAACAGTTGGGGCCGGATCAACTGAATTGAGAAAGCTTGTGTTGTACTGTGCACACTCGTGGCGAGTCTCCACTGGTTTTGCTGTGATTCCAAATATGAATCAGCATTGCATGATATCTCAATGTTGCAAATTGCATCCCATCAAATTCACAGAAATTTTCACACAGATGAAAAATCAATTTCCGGCTTCAAGCGAGATATACACAGCCGGCCACCGACAACACTTGTATACAGTGCACATACATTGTGTTTTACAAAAACATGTAACCATATTTACAATGTCAGATATATGTCCTGGTCGGCCTGCATTTTAAAACCCCCTCGGAGGAGGTTCTGAAAAGCAGTTCCATTTTAACCAAATGCCCCTGAATAAGTGTTATGGAAAAGTGACCACTCAGGGTAGACTAAGGCCATTTCAATGTACAGTACAATGGAGATGTGGCTTATTTATGTTTGTTACTGTTGAACTGTTATCAAATAAAGACGCAACGCAGTATGCCCCGCCCCCCCCCTTTTTTTTTTTTTTTTTTACCTGACCACATCCATGGAGGCAGCTCCTGACTTGAAGAAATCAGTGGAGTCTTCAATCTGACTGACATTGGTCAGAATGCTGTGCCACACTGACTGTAAGGAGTAAAATCATTTCATTGCTTTTGTTATAAATCATGAACCGATATTGAGCCTACTTGCCGAATATGCATGAATTCATTAACACTAATAAGACAGATACCTTGATCTGATCAGCAAAGTTTTTTTCCTCCTCCGTTAGCTCCACAGCTGCTTTGCTTCCTGAGCAAAAGTACTGTGAGGCAGATATCATCTTCCCGTCCTCAAACTGCAAATTCTTGACCAACAGCTACAAGTGGACAGAGTTTAAAAAGACACAATTCAAAGGTTTGGCCAGTAACATTTCATTTCCTGAGTAATACAGAGGAAGAGGATTGTGGATAGATTGACCCCCACCTACATGCAGATCACGCACTTTGCATAGGGCCCCATCCAAATAAAATGAATGTGTGTGCTTTCCAAGTATTAATTGAATTATTGCTTTTTTGTGCATTTGCGAGGTTGGCAGGAAAATGAGGTTGATGAAGTACAGCACGCACCCATGGCGATCTCTTTCATTGGGAGAGAGAGAATCTTTTGCACCCACCCAAAGGCATTCAGATAGCCAGTGAAGGAACACTTGGGTCCGGAACAAGTTTAAAGTACAAAGTTCGCCATTTGGGCCGAAACAATTCAATGAACAATCAAAGGGTTTAATAAAGAATTTGTTCGGAGTATGAAGTCAACCCCATGTGTACAGAATGCTTGTAAGTCCAGGTTAAAAACAAACCTCCTTTTTCCGATGCCTATGATTGACCTCCTTTAAAGAATGAAACTTTTTTTTTTGAAGATTTTAGAAAGCTATATTTTATTTCTGTGCTTTATTTTTAGCTGTATTTAATACTTTGGTTTTTAAATGTTTTTGCACGTTGTACTTGTAATTATGTGCTATATCAATAAAGTTGACTTCCCCTTGCCTTGCCTATTATTTCAAATGTACCGGTATTTAAAGTATTGCTTTAAAATCACTGTTATGACAATTTTAAATCTTTGAGACAAAAACAACAACAAGAACAAAAATCGTTCCAATTCACCACTATGATTTACATTGAGGTAGTACTTTATATTATGTATTGAATCCAATATAATTATTTAAATTAGGACAATTCTAAAGTAATTGGTTTGCTTTGTTTGGTTTATAAAATTAATCGAAAGGAAAACTTTCAGGTTATGTCAAAATAATACTTTTTAATTGAGCAAAGCCTCAATATTTTCTGTGATGGATTAGTTATTTATTAATTTTTACACGTGTCTGGGGAAGAGCTATTCTCAACCTGGGTTTTCACTGAAAGTTAGGGAGAGTGTTTGCCACATGTGAAAAAAAAGTATATATATATATATATATATATATAAAACAAAACTCCCTGTATGTTGATGTTCTAATAAGAGGGATCTTTTCTCTTAGTTCTCTTTTCATCCAGCAAGTTCCAACTTTAATTAATGTGAAACAATGACACCCAAAGTTACATATGTCCAGTCTACTGTATAATGTGTGTTTTGGTCGCCATTATTGCAGAAAACTTTGCTTCCCAAAGACTACGTCGACGTTGGAAATGAAAATGAAGTATTGAGTACTGGTTTGCTTGCTTGTTTTGAAGGCTTCTTTGCTTCATTATGCGAGCCTGTCGCCGCATATTATGCAAAGCGGGCTTGGTGCGTGAGAACCTCATGTAGCAATAATGTTTCAGTAAGACTGTTGATATTGTCTCTGAGATGCCGATTTCGTTTAATGGAAACTGTAGGCTCTTCTTTTTCTTCATCTTATCATTTGGCCTTTTCCCCTTTCTGAAGGAGCTCCCCATCCCTCTTATACAAATATTTATTAGCTTGTTTTTTTTTAATATATATTTTTTAACCACTATATCACATAACTAGCAGTTTGATGTGTGCAGAAGCACAGGCTGATGTTTTGTTCAATGTCTTTGCTATGCGGTCCAGTGGTTGGGCGGCTGCTTCTCAGCAGTCGCAGAAGGTGTATTTGGGACCTGGGCCTTTTGTGGAAATTTGAAGTGACCTAATCCACCATCTTATTACCACCACTATCACATTGCAAAATAATATACAAAAATGCAATATGAATATGTGCTGCATTACAGTCACATTTTGCATATTTGAGGATGGATATCATTATTACTAAACAACAAAACATAGGTAAAATATTATCCTTCATGATATCAACTCCATATTTCTACACTACAGTCCCGGATCACATTGTGAATTGTTGACTAGCACTCTTAACAATTCACATTGTCCATCAATGATATTTGCTGTTCCTCAGAACTAACCAAAGGTGTTGACACAATTCTATACTGCTTTGAAATCCATCAAAAAAAAAAAAAAAAACTGTTTTGATATTCACAAATTATCACTGAATTTAAACTACGGAGAACGTTTTTGGCACTACACAAAGCAAACACCAAGTAAAAATCATAGTCATTTCAATTTAAGTAGAAAGAGTGAATAAAAATACATTTCCTGGAATAGTAATTGCAGTAAAACTATGCTCGTAGTCACACATAAGATAATTTCAAAAGAAAACTGTCAAAAAATAGGTAACCCCTGCAAAAGTGGTCCTCAACCAACTATACATGCTTTTGGAGGATCAGCAACCATTCGACATTACATTTCTTTTAAATTGCCAGTTTTAAAGATTTGGTACAGACAACAACGGTAATTAGAGAATAATTCAACATTAAAAAAAAAAAAAAATCCCATTCACTTCATACATTTTTATTTTGCAGTAAAATACAGTATAAAAGGACAATAGTCCTTTGGCGCAAGGACAGAAAAGACAAAGGGGGGACGTCCACGCCTGAAGAAATTACTTTCAAGAGACGACTGGGACAGATGAGGCACCTCCAAAATAAGACGCCGCAAGGCATGACGCAAAACACCCTGCATTGAGCCATCCTCTGCATCACATGATGAGCTCCTGGTAGAGGGCGGGGAGGATGGACCTGAAATGGTGGAGGGCATCTAAACCCTCGAACCCTGAAAACTGTGTCAACATCCCGGGGAAGCACTGGCACGGCCGGGGTGGACCGAAGCAAAAGCATGCTTGGAAGTGCCACCATTGTTCACCATTGTTACAGCATATTTTACGTTGTGTATTTTGTGTGGCTTAGTGGTGGGCCGTGCACGTGTGGCTGGTGTCGCTTGCTTAAAAGCAGTGGAAATATATTTTTAGCGTGTGTGAAAGCATGTGTGACTGAATTTGATTTGAGAAAAAAAAAAGTTGTCGTGGGTTCACAAACGACTGGAAGTGACACATCAACAGTGCATGCTATGAAATGAAGACAAAAGACCGGTGGAAAGATTTAATACATTTCATGTAAGTAAATGGTATACATTTGCAATTTTACCTGTACAACTGAAGCACATTTTAATTACTGCTACTAGCTGATGAATCAAAAGAATTGCGTAACTCTTTTGAAACATCATTGGTTCAATAGCCACTGAAAAGAATAAATCCCTCGAAGCTTCTCAAATGTTGAAGTTGAAGTTAATTGTGCTGTGTTTCTGATATGAGAGCTGGCAGGAACAGGAACAAAATTACCAACAGCTTTACTACACTAAAATGTCCACGTGGACTACACTATGAAATCAATCGATAGGAATGAAATACTGTACATACAAGAAAAGGACAGTGCTGTATGTTGGGTCAGATCAAGACTCGCGTAGAATCAGCACACCTGCTTTGCAACCAAATTTGATTGCTTTATTGATTGATTGACTCTGTGTATTTTATTTGTACGTACCGTTTGTGCTTATGTTGCTGTAAGACCAGAGGAATATGTAAAAATAAAAGTTTCCATGTTCTCCCTGTCCTTTTGTGGGTTCTCTCTGCCATGGTACAAAAACATGTACAGGATGTTCCGGTTAATTGAAAACTCTAAATAGCAAGTTGTGTGAATGTGATTAGTTATCTGTGTCTTTGTGTCAGGTCCGTGATTGGTCGGTGACCAGTTGAGGCCAGGGTGCCTGACATTTTACCCTAAATCAGATGGAATAGAATCCCAACTCCCTGTACCCCTGAATAGAAATGAACTGAATAGAAAATGAATAGATGGATAAAAAAATAATTATACCCTTGTGATTAGGACAATGTGCAATCAATGAATGAAATGAATTACAGTAAAATACTATCTAAAGAATTTTCTGTGTGCCTGCAGCTTGGTGAAGGAACTGTGAACAGGCAGGTGGCAGTGACGAGAAATGCGCTGTTTGCAGTGTTATATATATATATATATATATATATACTGCGTTTACTTCGATCTGTTCCTGCTTGTATTGTGAGTGTGTGTGCAAGATTGGTTTATGTGTATATTTTATTTAATGAAACCATGACTGTGGTTGGTATGATAAACACTGACTTCTCAGCCATGTTATATGAATGTTATGCTGTGAACGAAATGATTTTGATTGACATTCACTTCAAGAATGGTATGTTCTGTAATTAAGACAATTTCTGTTTATGTTTATGCATGCAGATCAATTGTACGATCATGTTTTAACTATGCAGATAACTTGTCGCCGAATTTAAAAAAAAATACTGTATTCAGGAGAAAATTGCAGAAAAATCACAGATGGTCTCTGAGTGTTGGACCACCCCTTTCCAAAATGTAGCTTTGCCCCTGATGACATCACATCATTAGGGGTGTTCCCACTGCAACATTTGGTCCGACACCAGTCGAGCGTTCACAAGTGCACATTTGCTCTGGCGTAGCGCCGCTAAAGAGCTTATACCGGACCAAATTTGATCCACCTCAGGGAGGTGGTTTAAAAATTTGCTCCAGAGCAAATGCTCGTTTGCGACGCAGCACTGACGTAAATTTGCATGTGTGAACGCAACTGGGTTAAATTTGCTCCAGAGCAAATGCTCGTGAAGAGTTGATTACGTATGGTGAGAATGCGTTGCTTTCGTGCTCTGTCGGACTTCCGTCATTTGTCTAATATCGACACAAGACTTGTCTGGTAACATTGTACCAAGCACCTCTTGGGTTATACCATCTCTACTATAACGGGGAGGGAATAGTCCCCAAACGTCATCTTTCCTTTTGTAGGAGACTGGACTGTCTCGGAGTTGTTTGTGTAGTTTGTTCCTTTGTTGTGTGTTGACAACCCCCCGTGCCCCATAGAATCTATTTCGTGATTTCCTCTCTTGATTTTTCTGTTTGGCGCATTTAATTTTTGCTTTTCTGAGTGTCATTGAAGTCATCGTTGATTTATGTTATCGGGGGGCGGTCACTC